CTGCCATTACTCTTCGTCGTTCAACCGTTTCCTTGAATCGTGGAACGTGATGGGGCTGTTCTGATAACTGCTTTGATAACTGCACTTCTTGATAACCACAAGACTTTGGGCGATTTGAAGGTTCTGGCGAGAATATAGTAATAGTTCTGGGCGACTGCATGGCACTCCATTCGCTCAGATTCTGGGCGACTTGCAATCTTGGGCGATGGCATTACCACGTTCTTGGGCCTCTCTATTTGGGCCTTCATCTTGAGTTGTTTGATTGGGCTTCGTTCTTTGGGCTATCTGATTTGGGGATTCTCCAATTGGGCTTCATTCCTTGGGCCATTTGATTTGGGCTGAATTTTTATGTGTCAACAGATACCGTACACTAATAATTAATCTCAAAATTAAAAACTAACACAAACCATGAACCTTAGTCAGAAATTCGTAAGAAGAAAATGTTGACATATTTCACTGGGCAGTAGAAATCTCAAAGCGGCAAATAGGACAATAATGGCTTCTCATAAGCCAATCTCTAATGCAATTGCTATGAAAAACATGAGAACACGATAGGGTTGAGATGATGAACCCCGTCGGAATCTCTTCCAAGCAAACTATACGTATCTCATCTTCAGCATCACCCTTCTCGTACTTGATCTCTTTCTCCGGCAATGATATGATTGCATCCATGCTCGCGGGTACCATGTTGAGACGTTCACTTTCTATAGACTCCAACCAATGTTCAACTCTATCGCAAAATGTTGGATAATTGCCTCAAAAGTCAAAAGTTGGAGGACTTCTATTGCAAATAATAAAAAGTTAGTTATTATATGGAAGACTTCTAATTAAAGTTGAGAGCAGAATCCTTACAGAATTTAGTCTCCAATTTACAATCGGTTTTGAAATATTGCACATGAAGGAATCCTTGTTGAATTAAAGGAGTCTTTTTTGAATTTAAATTAAACTCTACTACTTGGTTATCGATCCTATAAATAGTGGATGTATTTCATTATTTTGGGTGTGGCCAGAGAGTTGATATGAGAGAAAAATATTGTAAACCTAGTATCTTGAAACTTTTCGTACATTAGATAGAAAAATAGGTGGGGTAAAGCTCGGTTTTATTTTTTTCTTTGTAATACTTGGGGATTGGGTTGGTGAGTGAAATTCTATATGATTGTAACAATTTTTCATATGCTGAAAAGTTTTGACGGTCTGTTTAATTTGTGCGTTATATCCTTTATTTTTCTTATTTGCTAATATTCTTCTGAACAATAAAATATCCTGCGGATAAATAGAAATAAAAGGAATTGGCGTAAAATTTCCCAACAAATGGTATTAGAGCGTCGGGTGGTTCAGAGTATCGGAACAAGAAAAAGATATGTCGTCGTTGAAATATGACATAGAGAAATTTGACAGGAAAATCAAGTTTGGTTTGTGGCAAGTACAAGTTAGGGATTTATTGATTCAAACTGGACTGCACAAGGCTTTGAAAAGAAAATCAACCAAGAGTTATTGCAATGAAGCTAAATCCAGTATGAGCAATGAGGATTGGGAAGAATTGGATTTGAAGGCTGCAAGCATAATACGTCTCTGTCTAGCTAAAAACGTTCTTACAAATATTCATAGAATATCTGCTACAAAGGAACTATGGGAGAAGTTAGAAGAACTATATCAAACGAAGAGCCTCTCAAATCGATTGTACTTGAAGGAGCAATTTCATTCATTGCTCCTGGAGGCAGGTACGAAAATCTCAAACCATCTGAGTGTTCTCAAGGGAATTGTTTTAGAACTGGAGGCTATTGGAGTGAAGATAGATGATGAGGATAAGGCACTATGGCTCATCTAGTCTCTTCCGTCTATCTATGAACATTTCAAGCCAATCTTGATGTAGGGGAAGGAAACTGTGAGTTTTGTAGAAGTGAAAAGCAACTTGATCTCAGAAGAAAGAAGACTAGGGGGACAGAATACTCCATCTGACAATCTGGTACTTGTGACTAAGAAGGGGAAGAACGGCAACTGCATGAGAAAGAAAATAACTTGTTGAAACTACAGTCAGACTGATCACGTGAAGCGAAATTGTCTAAAAGGTGAAGCACGGTCAGCTAATTGCTTGGGGTCGGACAATGTGTCTCTCTCGACGGAGGTGGACGCGGATGTAGTGCTGTAAAGTAAGATGAAAACGTCCTCATGGCATGTTACCAATTGCCATGATAGAGGATGCGTTCTTACTAAGAGGAGTCAACATATCTGCACATAGCATTGACTGACATTTAATGCAAAGAGTGCAGGTATGTGATGGTACTGTGATGTCGATGATTGATGAGCTCTCTGGAAAAGTCAGTAGGAGAGTTGCACCATAACTATCAACAGGGCTGTTTTGACATGTAGCTAATGAAATGCTCGAAGTTCGCGGATAATTCTGAGTGGTTATACTCATATGGTAGAGTATGAGACTGTTAAAGTGTGTCAAAGGCTTACCTGTTTTTTCCAAAAATTGTGATTAAAAGCTGTAGAAGAGATGACAAGATTTTGACTCGTTTTCGACAAGATGGAGATTGTTGGATAATTGTCTCAAAAGTCAAACGCTGGAAGACTTTTATTGCAAATAATAAAAAGTTAGTTATTATATGGAAGACTTCTAATTAAAGTTGAGAACAGAATCCTTGCAAAATTTAGGCCTTGTTTGATTCCCATTTTTCTAAGAACGAGAATGAAAAATATAGTTGTTATAGACCCACACAAGAAATAAAAAGTCAAATATAGTGACTTGATATAATGGATAACGGTCATATTTTTCATTTTTATAACCAAAGAATGAGAATCAAATGGGGGCTTAGTCTCCAATTTACAGTCGATTTCGAAATCTTGCACATGAAGGAATCCCTGCTAAATTAAAAGAGTCTTGTTTGAGTTTAAATTAAACTCTATTACTTGGTTATTGATCCAATAAATAGTAGATATATTTCATTATTTTGGGTGTGGCCAGAGAGTTGATCTGAGAGAAAAATATTTGTAAGTCTAGCATATTGAAATTTTTCGTACATTGGGTAGAAAAATAGGTGTGGTCAAGCTCGGTTTTATTTTTTTCTTTGTAATACTTGGGGATTGGGTTGGTGAGTGAAATTCTATATGATTGTAACAATTTTTCATATAGTGAAAAGTTTTGATGGTCCGTTTAATTTGTGCGTTATATTCTTTATTTTTCTTATTTGCTAATATTCTTTTGAACAACAAAAGATCCTGCGGGTAAATAGAAATAAAGAGAATTGATGTAAAATTTCCCAACACAAAAGACAAATTTCCTTATACTAATAACCATTGATTTTTCCGAGCCCATGATGTATTTGGTTTTTTGCATATTCAATTAAAGAATTAGTAACTTTGCGACGAAACTTCGACACCCAATTAGATTGGTGAGTTGTGGCAACAGAACTTGTTTTAACTCATCGTAAACCGCCCCTATATCGACATGAGCAAATCTTGACATCGTCGCTCCTTCTTCTTCCATTATAACTTCACGTTCTTGATTTACCAAGTATTTAACGATTTGAAAATTGAATTCCAGGAGAGTATTCGTTGTTGATAAAGAGTCATTATGCTCCATGGGTTCTGAGCACCGTGAACCTATCGATGCACACCAAGGGAAAGACACCATATTCGAGATTCGGTAAAAAGCTTATATATATAGAAACAACAAAACAGTTATATGGATATGAATTGAATATTTTGAGGAAAATTTTTTTTTTTATGATATTTAGAATTAAAAAATATATTGAAAAATATATCTTATAAAACTTAAATCCACAAACTCTATTATTTAATTCCCTCAATATGTTATAAAATTTTGAATATATAGGGTCACGTACATTCTAGATTATTATGAAAAATTGAATTTGCATCATCAACTATATAGTCTATGTTCAAATCATGAACTACACTCTTGTGTGGAGTTTTACTGGAAAAATCAATATCTTTATGTAATCACATCTATGATATGATTAAGTATTATGACATCTACAACCTATTTGTCATATCCGATTAATCGATTGTATAGTGAATTCGATGAAAAAATAGAGGTTGAGCAAATTTGTCTTGGTTGTGTGCTGTAATGGATGTAGTGAACGTGTTACTAATTAGGCTTAAAGTTACATTTGGAACTCGAGCCAGTTGGATGCAAGTATGTCGATTGACTTAAGATGATAACGAATGAATTAAGGATGAATATATCATTGATGACTAGGGATAGCAATGTGCCAAGTCGCTAAGGATGAATATATCATTGACAATTAGGGATGACAATGGGTCGAGCTGACTCGACCCTTTAACCCACGAGATCGGCTCAAGCTCGTGGTGAGTTGAGCTCGTGGCTCATAAAAACGAGTTGAGCTCGAGCCACGAGCTCGTTGGCTGAGCCTAGCCACGAGTCGCTAGGGAGCTCGTGATTTATTATTATTATTATTATTATTATTATTATTATTATTATTATTATTATTGTAAATTTGCACATTTTTTATGAGCTCACGAGCTCGTGAACTTTGGCTCGTTAACAACTGTGTTACAAGGTGTGGACGCTTATAACTGATTACATACTTAAATGCAAAATATACGCAATAGCCAGAATTTAAAAATAGTTCACATATATCTATAATGTATCGAAGTAATGGCTAAATGATGAGAAATATAGGACTACTAAACATCAAATTCGATAAATAACAAAAAGTCTGACTAGACACACAGTTTCGAATTTGATGAACATTTTCATCAGCAGAGAATTCAAAGTCAAACTACAATAAGATGTTCGAGAACAAAGTTGAGCCAAATTTAGATGCTTCTAATTGATATTTGTCATACTGGCAAAATTGAAAAAGGATAGCAGATTTTTAGACGATGAGCGAAGACTATGGTCTAACAAATCAATATCATGATCGATCTCCTTTGTCAATCACACAGGCTGGACGAAGCTTTTGAATTATTACATGGGATATTTGAAATGTAAGTATTATTCAGATTTCAATCTGGGAGAAGAAATGTGTAAGAGGCTTTTAGAGTTGGAGCCTGAAAGTGAAATTTCAATTTGTTATTTTGTCCAACATATAGACAATGGAAGTGGAAGGATGTGGGGAAGATCAAAATAGTAGAGAGGAAGAAATGACTTAAGAAACTCCTCAATAATAGTTTGACAGGGATGATGTAAAAAGCTAGAAAACTTATTCTCACTTGGCTATTCTTTTAACAATCGAAAACGAACAATCGATTCTACTTTGATACTTAGTCAAGTTACTTTAACTCTGTAGAAAATTCGACGGCGAAGAAATTGAAGCAAAAACTAGGTCGAATAAGGTTTTTTTGGAAAGGAAATTTGAGGTAAAAGATAGGGAATGAAATTAGGGCAGTATTATTGTGCATGAAACGTAGATTTGTGCAATGATAGTGGAAACTAATTAATTTAGAGTGATCTACGAATAATACATTAAATTATATTAGGGAGTTATTTGACTTTTAATTAATGAATTATACTATTAGTTTCTAGTATTCCTCGGAATAAAATTAGTTAGTGATATGTATATTCTGGAATTTTTTATTTGAAAGAGTTTTGTGGTGTAATTTTCACTTTAATTTTTTAACTCAACCTAATCCAATTAAACTTAAAAAAACCAAGAGTTGATCGGGTTGAGCAGTTTGTGTTGGGTTTTGCCCACTGCTACCTAAAAATGATGACTTTGAAAGACTTTTCACGTTGCATAGTTTCCGGCTAAATTTGTCATTAACCGAAAATGAATAGTCCTCTCTAATATCTTTACTTAGGATCCTTTTCGCTGGACATTTTTAAACGGA